AAAGCATTCAGCCAGCGGTCAATAACATCACAATTCTCAACGGGCTCAAGATAGGGTTGCATCATCCCAGTAAGATGACTGGCACCCTCAATGTGACTCTGACTATCATCCTGAAGACTAGGTGGAGGCGGTAGAAGTGGTGGCGGAGGATACTGGCCACCAGCAGGACCAACCCTCATCTCCTCCAACATGACCCTCATCATAGTCATGTTCGCCAGGCGATTCCCCTCCAGCACGTCATTTGTGGCATTCCTGTTCGCCTCTCTGACGGCGTCCAGCATAGCCTGATTCGCTATTCTCAAGGCCTCCTGGTCGGCTAGGCAAGCCGCCTGCATCTCAGCCAATGCAGCCAGGACAGGATTAGGTTGATCCTTGTTCGTCTCTCGATTTCTCCTCGGTATTACCATGACTCTGCACAAGTTACACAAAGAACGAGTTGATCAGGCCCACATCACACATGCATCATCATAGCAAAATCCTATAGAGAAACACACAAGACAAGACACACGACAAAACATCCTAAGTTATTGCAATACATACAGGCTTTTCCCTAGAAAGTGCTCTGATACCATAAAATGTAACACCTTGTGTATACCCGGTTTGTTATCATGTCATCGTATTAAGCAGCGCTTAATAAAAATGCGGAATAAACTTTTCACTCTCAATTATGACGTCATTATTATTAACCAAGTTGATTAATTAATTCATTTTCAAAACATTGCCGGTATGTAAATTGCAATAAAACTAAATAAACTGAATAACCTCAAAAGATATAAAAAAGTGTTTATCTAAATCACGGAACTACAACACGTAGTGCAGCCATAATCCTGATATAATTATACAACCCAATTATAAAATAAAACATAGTCAATCAATGTGGCATGCATAACCCCCATGCTCACCAAATAAGGCAACAAAGCCGAACAGAACCTCAAATCGAATAACATGATAATAAATATAAAACATGTCAGCGTCCAAGCATATCATCATAAAAGTAGAAATCTCAACTCAGCTTCGGCCTCCTGCCGCCCGAGGTATTAATCCCTGAGTTACCTGAACCTGAAAATGTGCCCCAAATGTGGGGTGAGATCTCTAAACAGAAATCTCAGTAAGACAAGGGGTCCTCAAGGATTCTCCACCCCAAGCTCACTTACATGTGCAATATAAGTTCTAAAAGCAGTAAAACAGTATAAGTTCCAAAATCAGTGCAATGCAGTAGATAACCATGTCATGTGTGTCAAATATTCTACTGGCCAGAGAAATGCAGGATTTACATACGTCTATAACCTACAATCAATGCAAGACACCACTTGCACCCACCCACAGATCACCCTATTGTAAGTCTCCACATACTCAGGCTTACCGTCTAGGTGACACAAACACATGCATATCATGAAGCACTTGCACATAACAACTCAAGAGCATTTCAAAATTAATACATGAAAACACATCATGCATATAAACCATCCCCCCATGTGATATGGTGGAACCAACAATGGCTAAATCGAGGACACGAAAGCTTACCTTTTAAGCAATTAATCCAAGCCAAAGTCCACACTAACTCAAAGACCACAAACAGCAAAATCATGATCTGTTTTAGATCAGCAATCATATCAACATTCATCATCTAATAGTTCAAGACATAACGACCATGTTTTCTTCTTCGTTTAATGTCTTTAGGCTTCTCACAAAGCCATAAGCCCTTAATCACTTTGATTCTGACTTAGATAATTATTACAAAGGTTTGACTTAACCAACTTAGGGTCCACAAACCCCAAATACGGTTCTGTATGCACAGAACAGTCACTGTCTCGAAATTCTCAGAATATCTGAATATTTGTCGGGGTCATATCCGGATATTTCGCAACAGAATGCAGTTTCTGCACTTCGCGAGATATCACTCCCAATGTTCAACTTTTAACCCATTTTAACGTCCATGCATGTAATTTTATACACATTTAGGTTCATATTCATGTTGGTTACCTATACAACTCATTTTACATGCCAAGACTCCACTTTTACCCAATAAAACTCATGATCAAAGATGGTGAAGCTTACCCAAAGGTCCAAACTCAGAAAAGGGTGCTCTTGGAGCTCACCAATCTGTCCTAAGAAGTCAGATTACACAAGCCACGAAATGGTGACCAAAGCTTGATCCTTTCTCAACCAAAATGGCACCTTGAAGCTTCAAATAGCATGGAGATGGCTCCCACACCACACAACCTCAAAGTCAGCAACTCCCTCACTCAAGAAATGGCTGGACTTTCAATCTCCCAAGGCTAGAGCACACACATACAAGGGACTTGGGTGAAGAAAGTAGGAGGAAAGGTGCTCTCTTGGAGCTTCAATGAAGGGGAAGGAGGGGTGGCAAGGTGGCTGACTCCAAGCTTCAGAAATTCCCACGTAAAAAGCACAATATGACCTAGAGTTATGTGACATTTCTCTATTTATAACCGTTTAAGTTTTAATCGCGCTGTATTAGGGCTAATAGCTACGCTTAGCATTTTAATTCCAAACTTCGGATTCTGAACCTAGTTATTTTTCTAAGATTTGTCACATTTGTATTTTATTTTTCGCAGCACTTTGACGGTACACGCTTTTACGTAGCCAGTATCAGTTCTGACACCAAATCTCATTATTTTGACTCCAAACTTGTTATACTAGTCCTATATATTATTCTAGGGATATATACACACTTTTCATAAGTTTCCGGGATACTTCATCGGTATGCATTTATACTGTAGGCAGAATCGGTATCTGCACTTTTCGTCAAAAAAATGACTTTCAACATAATTAATTACTTACCATAATTACTTAATCCTTCTCATAATTATTAGGGTCAATTATGGAATTATTTCTTTAATATCATAATTAATTAATTTAATTTAAATTCCTAATTTAACGGTGTGAGTTCTTACATGAGGCCTATTTATTGCTAAGCCCAATAAGGGGCAATTCAAATATAAATCAGATATAATTAAGGAAAGATATCCATTAAGGATATCAATCCTAATACGACAACATAATATATGGGATTGGGCCGCTAGGAAAGACACAGAAGGTCCAGAATTCAATACCCACAGGTAAACTCTATAAATAAGAGGTAAAGCCTATAGATACAGGTACACTCTCTCTTTTACTGTTATGTTGTCAATGTGTACACACACCACCCCTTTGACGAAAGCTGTCTATTAGTATTCTTCTTCTTCAATGTACAGAGATTTGCTTGACTCAAGTGTATCTAACTCATAGATACCTTAGAGATGACACCTAGATCCAAGAGCAACATACTAGCTTATTGGGATAGACATCTCCAGTGAGCTCAAAACGACGTCGTTTTACGGTTATAAAATTAAAAAATTATATGGATAAAGACTACTATAATCCTGCAATATATTAGAATTACAAAATTACTTTGATTTTCGTCTCAAAACAATGTCGTTTTGGGCTAACCGGAGATAACTTATCTTCATTGACTGGAGAAATCTTTTACCATATATATATTTAAACAAGAGAGAAAAAAAATTATATATATTTATATATAAACAAGAAATAAAATTATTTTTATAACCAAAAAAAATATTATGTTCGCAAAAAATTAGAAAACACGAACCATATATGAAGCCTGCATCGTGACTGCAAGTCTGCAACCTTTGATGGCACAAAAACAATATAATAGATGATGTATCATTTTATTAAAATAACAATAAGAAACAAAGAGTAGGAATCTTATGACTACAAAATGACAAACCCATTATAACATGCGTGTAAGAAATATGAAGGTAAAAACAGTAACAAAGAAGACAAAAAAAAAAAATATAAATATATATATATATATATATATATATATATATATATATATATTATAAAGACTTGTATAAATATCCGTTAAACACAAAAGGTATACACACCCACCTTTACTTTGTAACATGCATACGGATAATACAACAACAAGACATTATAGAAAAAAAATAAAAACTTTACTAGAAACACATCAGATCCACACTTGAAAATGTTAAATTAAACTTAACATTATAATAAATAAAAAATATATATATAATGACCTGTGGGGTGCCAAGTCCGAGGAATCAGGGTTTTATCAATGAGGATATACGGTATATTACCAATAAATTTTTGGTGCATCTCTTGGTACCTAGATTCAGTACATTCTATAAATGAAAACATTACGTATCAGAGGAGAGAGAAAGAATTTAGCAGAAAAAAAAGAATTTTGATTAACATGTAATATTTTTATTGATGCAATACATTGAATCTTTAGTATAAGAATAACACCAAAATTTATTCGTATACTACAGCTTTAATGGACATGACGTATAATTAATTGACAGGGACACATAGCTAATGTTATGGATCGATTTTATGGACTCATATCTTAACAACATGACATCATATAATAGGTTAAAAAGATACAGATAATCTCGAGGGATAAAGAAATACAGATACTAACATGGAATACTGGTTGATGAGTGTTAAAAGTCGTTGAAATTTAGTCTAAAATATGAAAATAAAATAATGGAATCATGTACAAAGTTTATAACTAACCATCAGATTAATTTCAAGAATAAAGATAAATATAAAAATTACATTTCATTCTCATCTTCATAGCATGAAATTTTGAAGTTACAAAATCACATATACGAAAGGCTTTATAGAAACATCATCACTACTAAATATATTGGGTAAAACACTTATGCTGTTAATGCAGAAGTGTTCCCCTCATGTTACACATTAATCCAAATTTTCAATTTTTTATTTTTTTAAGAAAAAAATGGTGCGTCCACCATATCTTTGTCTCAGCTGCAGAAAATGATGCTTTGCAGCAATAGCAAAAATGCAAAGCCCAATTACATTTTAACTTGGATTTTCCCATAGGACTTACCGTAAACAACATTGACACAGCAGTATGAGGAAAAAGAAGAACAACACAAAGGATAAGGGAAGAACGAAGGAAACTTTGCAATATTATTCATTAACACGTGGTTCTGTATGCACAACCCAATTACACACGTGGTTCTCAACTAAAACTCCCTTAACATGCCTCCTTTCATCACAATTAAGGAAGATGATTGCAAAGGCCATACACAGTGCTCGATATTCAACACAAAAACAGAACTAAAAAAAGAAGACATCAATGTATTACAAAAGCAACATAATTCATTCACGAGCAACAAGAAGCACTTGTTTACCAAAATTGTGACCACTAAAGAGTCCAACCAAAGCTGCAGGGCCATTCTCAAGGTCCTCAGCTATGTCTTCCACATACACAACCTTCCCTTCTTTGATATGAGGCAGAAGAAACTCCAAGAATTTGGGATATAGGTGAAAGAAATCAAAAACATTAAAGCCTTGCATACGAATCCGCTTATATATAAGATTTGTCAAATTTGTTACACCTTCAGGTTGAGTGAGATTATACTGTGAAACCATTCCACAGACAGGTATGCGGCCATGGACTCTCATATTCAGAAGTACAGCATCAAGAGTTTTGCCCCCAACATTCTCAAAGTAAATGTCAATGCCTTCTGGAAAGTATCTGATTTGTAAATAAGGAGGATTTGTGTTACTAGTTGCAGTAACTTAATTTTTTTCTTGCAACAGATAAATTAAATTAAAATTCCTCTTTCACAACACTGTTAATTGCTGACCTTTTCAAAGCTGCATCAAGGTCTGGCTCTTCTTTGTAATTAAAAGCTTCATCAAATCCTAATTTATTCTTCAATAGATCCACCTGTTTGTAAAACACATAAGTTCAAGTTAAAGGAGGACTAAGTATTTTTGTTGGTGAGCAAATATAAACTTTGTACTAGTGCTAGTTTATGAGATTGGGAAACACAAGTACTAGTGCTGGTTTATGACAATTCTCTTCAAAATATCAAAGGATTTTTATTTTTATTTTTGGGGTTTGCTTCTTGTGACCGGAAGGTCATGCATTTGAGTCTAGGAAATTTCCTCTTTGTAATAATACAATGATAAAGTCGCATACAATCGACGCTCACCCCTGCCTTGACAAGTCGGGGAGCCTTATGCTCCAAGGTTTGCTCTTTGCGCTTTTTACTTTTGGGGGGATAAAGTGGGAGCGGGAAGGGTGGGATATAGAAAGAGCAAAAGGCAATGCTCCCTAACTTGGTGAGAGTAAAGGGTTCGGGTCAATTATATATAATCTCATCTTGTATTTTTGTAAAAAGGTGGTTTTCTATGCCTTCCCGTCACAAATAAACAATCATACTATTGCTCCAAAACTCCCCCCCTTAGGGATTGGATACATAATAGGATAAATCCGCAAACTAACTTCAGAATCAAACCACGTATTAATCCGCAAACATTACACAGTGCAACTTCTCATATCTGACATATGGCCTTGACCTTCGATTAAAAAAAACTTCCATGTATTTAAATTCGACATCTTGGAAAATCCCAAAAGTATGTAACATGTCTCAAAGTTCTCAATCACAAGAATGTTGTCTAGGCTTGCAAATTGGTAGAACTATTTCTGTCATATAATTAGGCTAATTAAAAATAGTAATACATTGAGTGGCAGGATAAATAACAAAAAGTTGATGTTAATTTATCATGTATGATGACTTATATAACAACAATAATTGGACAAATACCTTCTCTTTACTTCCAGCACTTCCAACAACATAACAACCAGTCAATTTAGCAAATTGACCAACAAGTTGACCAACAGCACCAGAGGCAGCTGAAATAAAAACTTTCTCTCCTTTCTTGGGAGATCCTAATTCAAAGAATCCAGCATAAGCAGTCATTCCTGGCATACCTGTCCTCAAACAATAAAATACTAACTTGGTTATAAAGTTGCTTAGATTTATTCTGAAGAAGCAGAATATATATACTAAGAAAATGAATCATAAAATAGTACAATACATTTATAATAAACTGATAGAAGTTTAGCTTATAAAATACACAAAAGCAATGAGCTATTGGTTCCAAATGAGTATGAAGGTCATTTAATATTGGTTCTCCTCCAAACCAAAGCTGCTTAAAGGATGAATTCCAACCATACAAGTGCATTCTTCACTAAGAATCAATATAAATTGAAAATGTTGAATACATACCAAGAATTCCAGTATAGTAGGAAAGTGGGACATCCTTGTGCTCAATTTTGAAAAGCATTTGAGTTGATGGGACCAAGCTATACTCTTCCCATTTAGTCAAACCCCATACTAAATCACCTTTCTTATAATCTGTGTGTCCGGATTCCAGGACTTTAGCCACGCCAAATCCTGTTAATGACTGTGTAATCACTCAACTGTTAGAAGGTGCATAAATTTATGACTAAAATGTATTTTTGAATTTCAAACATACCAAAATTGTTAGAAAAAGTGTATCTTATTAAAATATTTATACCAACAATTGAAGCCTCACAACACATCAACCCCGTTGAATCATGGCATTCATTCTCATTTCTGAACTGTTTTTCTCAAAAGAAAAGTGAAAAAAATTGACCTGTCCTTTTCTTATGCTTTTCAAAAAGCAGCCTCATATGATGCATAAAGCTTTTCCTTCTAAAATTAGGCCTTTGAAATTTGAACATTATATTAACTTTGTATAATATTCAAGTTTCTGAATACCCATTCTACAAAGTACAACACAGTCATGCAAAAATACTAATGCTATGTTTTGGAGTTTTGAAAGAGACATGGCGTGTTGGTTCATAATGGAGTGAAAACTGAAAAGGAAAGAGTATATCACTATTGATTATAACTTTTGGAGGGTAGGTCCTCTCCATTGTTTCGAAGTCAAAATGATAAATAATGAAATGGAGTAGATTAGAAGTTTAACTTCTAATATTATTCCTTTTAACTAAGAGATTAATGTTTAAGATATTACCCGTTTAGGAGATAATTTTATCTACTAAACAAACTTAACAAGATAGAAAAAAAAAATAGACTCCACGTATTATTTTTTGTAAAAAATAAAATTATCTCCTGTATATAAACACTAATATCATCAACTAATAATTATATAAATAATTCACATCAAATGCGATAAAGATCAAAATTTATGATTTAAATTAGTAAGTGTGCAATTATTTGAGTTTTTTCTTTTTAAAATTTAGATCATGGGAATAAATCTTCTGAAAAAACATATCATGGTACTTGGCTTTCCAATAAAGAGAGAGCATAACTTACAGAGCCAGGGACATAGGAAGGAAATCCCTCAACGGATTCCACCTTGGTCATGAGCATTCGCATGAAAGGGTCACACGACAAGTAGAGATTCTTGAGCAGCACCTCATTGGAACCTTCTGGAAGCTTCAAAGTTAAGGTACTTTCAACAATGCTCATGTCTGTTTCCTTAGGAAAACCAGATACATAGTCTCTTAGAATCACTTGCTTGTTCCTCATTTGTGCCATCTTACACACTTTTGGTTGCGTTTCAGTTCAGAGTTGACTGTGTCCTGTTGTCATGAGTTGGGGTGAGTGATCTCTATTTATAGGACACCGAGGAAAAGGCGAGGGCTAAAATGGGAAATTCAAATGGCTAATCGTAATTGCTTGCGTCATTAGCAATTATCGTATGTGGTGACGTGTTGGGTCTCTCTTCAAACGCTTTTTGGCACGCAGCACCATATATCCGTCCAAAAGAAGTAAAAAAGAGGGATTTACATAAAGATAAAATTGAGAATCGAAGAAAACAAATTTTCTTTTGCAATTTTATTTTATATTTCGACATTTATTGATACTCTAATCGATATTGTAGAAACTAAAAAAAAAAAAAATTCAAAAGTTATATTAAGTTACGTTTTTAATTCTAATTATTAAATTTATTGAATTATGATTACCATTATATTAAATTTAATGTGAATATTTAGAATATTTTATATTTCTTTACAAAATTAATGAGTTTTATAAGTTTGATTTTATTTTTGTTAAATTATTGAATATAATATTAAATATAATATATGCTATTACATAAACTAAAAACATTATTTAATATTAAAATGTATTCTAATTTATTAAAATTTAATATTTTTTAAAATTAAATATGATATCATATCATATCTCTATGTCAATGTAAGCCAAATTTTAGTTAATTATTATTTTTTCATCATGATTGCGCTGTGTTTGTTCTCTGATGTTTATGGATTATATTTTATTACAATCTTCACGACAATTCGGGTGAATTGAGTTGGGTAACACTCATGCCATGAATTAACGATAATTTACACCCTTTTAAAATTTAGTTTGAAAAATAAATTTTTATTTTCAGAATAAAAAAATAAAAACTTGTTTGATAAAGATTATTTTGTACAAAAATTTAAAAATTATAATTTAAAATTTAAAGAATATTTGAATTTAAGATATTTTTGTTTTGTATTTTAACTTTTAACTTTTAAAATAAAAAATATAGAAAACACATATTTCATTAACTATTATACAAAACAGATCTAAGAACAAAAAAAATAGAACACAACCAAATACACCTAAGGAAAATATATTTATCATGTTGTATGAGATAGTGAGACAACACATAGAAAATAGGTATGATCCATTTTTTCTTTCTCTCTTGTAACGACCGGTACTGATAATGGAGCTGCTAACAAATTTTTTTATCAAAAAATTGAAAAATCTTTTGTTTTGTGCACTGGTCTTAAAATTCAACATGGTTCGAAAATTCATTGCACATGAGGAGAGATGAAGATTAAATCTCACAGCACGCTCAACACACCTGTCCTAAAGTAGTTTCCTTACATTGATTGCACGAATTTTATTTTACCCTTTAAATAATTAGTGATAAAATTAACAAAATTAAAGTTAAATTCTAATATTTACAAGAAGCTAAGATTGTACTTTAATACTTACATCAAAAGCAAATAATTACATGATGATCGTTAAATAAAAAAAAAAATAAGAATAGCTTTTGGGCATTATTAATCTTATACAATAGGACATAAGATGTCTTCTATAACATAAATAATTATGTGTGGGCTAATTATTTTAAAAAAATAGCAGCACATAAATTGATGTATCAGCTAAAAAGATAAATAATCTCTAATAACATAAGATTAGTTTTTTCCATAGTTTATTTAAAAAAGATTAAAGTAAAAAAGCATATAACACGAACCGCGAAGCTTCCTGCAACCTTTGATGGCACAAAAACAATATAATAGATGATGTATCTTTTTATTAAAGGAGAAAGTCTCTGTCAGTTTAAAGGATGTAAAGTTATGTCATTTTAAGAAAGAGAAAGAGATAGATAAAAGAAAAGAGAGTTGACCAAAAAAATAAAGGTTGGGGTCTCATCTTTTTATGAGAGTGAAAAGATATAAATTATGTTATTTAAAAAAAAAATATATTTTTTTCTTTATTAAAATAATAATAAAAAACAATAAGAAACAAAGTGTAGGAATCTTATGTCTACAAAATGACAAACCCATTATCTTATGTCTACAATAACAAAGACAAGACAAAAAAAAAAATTTATTATAAAAGCTTGTACGTATCAATATCCGTGAAACATCGGAAATATTTTTAATATTACGAATGCACTCAATTTGGTACATCAATTTATTAAATGAAAAAGTTTAAAAGAATATAAAAGGGAATATAAAAAAAAAAAAAAGTGTTAAAGAAAAAAAAAATTACCCATTTTAATAAATGGGTATATGAAGTTCCGTACACCCACCTTTACTTTGTAACATGCATACGTATAATACAACAAGAAGAAATTAAAGAAAAAAAAAATCACTTAAAACATATCAGATCCACACTTCAAAATGTTGAATTAGTTCATCCAAAAGTAAATAAATATTATACTTTCAACTTATTTTTTTTACAATTTTCTATAACTATATCTTCAAAAAATAAATATTATACTTTTAACTTATTTTTTTTACTATTTTTTATAACTATATCTTCAAACAGTTGATTTTTGTCAATTAATTATTATTATTTTCATAAATTAAATTAATTAATTAATTATTCATTCACAATAAATAATAACTGTTAAGTATATGGTTTAAAAAGATTATAAAAAAAAAAGTTAAGTTGTAAATATAAACTTCTTAAAAAAATGTTAAATTAAACTTAATATTATATATATATATATATATATATATATATATATATATATATATATATATATATATATATATATATATGACCAGTGGGATGCCAAGACCCAGGAATCACGGAGGCATTTTTTATCAATCAGGACATATCGTAGACTACAGCTTTAATGGACATTACTTATAATTAATTGACAGGGACACAGCTGTCGTTTCATAATACCTTACATGCAAGATATAGGGTGTGCATGGCAACTTTCTCAGAATTAATTTTTTTTTTAATTTCTGTTTTCGGGAACAGAAATGGATAGAAAACTCATTTGGTAAAATCGATTTATTTTTTTGTTCCCGGAATGAACCTGATTAATTTTTGTGCTGGGGAACAGAAAAAAGAATTTTTTTTTTTTTTGTTTCCGGACACAAAATGAGAAACACTTATCTCTCTTAATCACTCCTCATCTCTACCATCATCACCACCACCACCATCATCCCAACACGACCACCGTCACCATCGTCGATGTCGCCGTCGTACCACTAGTGCTATTGTGATCACCCCTCACCACCACGATGCCACCGTCACCATCACCATCACCTTCACCCATCACTATCACCATTACCACCACCACAACTACCACCGCTGCAACCACCACCACTACCACCACTATCACCGACACCGTCACCACCACGATCGCACCCACTGTCACCACCGCCACCACTACCACCACCACAACGTCACCGCTACCATCACCACCACTGTCACCAACCACCACTATCATTGCTGCAACCACCACCGACACAGCCGCCGCCACCAACCACCACCACCATCGTCACAACCACTACCATCACCACCACCACCATCGCGTCCATTACACCACCACCGCCGCCGCCTCTATGATGCCATCACAACCACCACCACCATGTCACCGCTACCATTGTCGCTGCCACCAACGCCAGCAACCACCATCCCTACCACCATTGTCGCAGTCACTGCCTTCGCCACTACTACTGCCGCCGCCGCCATTACCACCGTCATCGTCGCAGCCACTGCCGTCACAACCACCACCACTATCATCACCGCGTCACTGCCGCCACCACTGTCGTACCGTCGCAGCCACCACCACCCCCTGCCGCCACCACCACCACAACCACACCATATGGAAAGGAAAGGAAAGTGATGATCCGAATTTATTTTATATTTAATAGGAATTATTTTTTATTATATTATTTGTTATGTTATCAAACGCAATTCTCATTCTCGGAATAAAAATAGAACATGTTATCAAACACATTTTTTTCTCAGAAACTATTCCAAGGAACAGAAATAGAAAAGAATTGTTTCTTTTCAGAAACAGTGCTAGGGAATAAAATGATTGTCATGCACACCCATAGATTCATGATAACTTAAGGTTTCGTGGCGCAAAAAAAATATTGGGTTTTCTTTTTACTGAAGTCTAATTGGGTTAAGAAAATTAGAAGAGACCAAAAAATTTAGAGCACAAAGAATTTAGGATTGGGATTTTTTAGTACCTGTATAAATACTCTCATTTAAGTTATTAGACTCCTAGTTTGTCAACTGAAGAAGTAAGCTCACATTAGAAAAAATGCCCAGACACTTCTCATTCTTTTTCGAGACATCGTGTGAAAAATCTACCGCTAATCAGTCTTAAGAAAATTGTTCATACAGAAAAAAGCAGTTCGTGAAGAGGAATCAAACACGAGGAGATACTGCACAGATCTGCGCGACAAGAGGTGAATATAAAATGATAATGATCCGTTGCATTCCAAATCGCAACGGTCTAAATGCTTCCGCAGATCCAATTACGTCTACAATTGGTATCAGACGCGGATTGCGTGTTTGGATATGGATCTAGTTTTTGATTTACGATTATTCATGTAATTAGTTTTGCTTCATGAAATATGGCACCTAGGGTTCTATGAATATTGGTATGTATTTTGAATGTGTATCTTTATATTTCTTCTCCAATAAAAATCGATGTTTTTATATTGTCTTGGCTTTAATCCATGGTAGAGATGTCATTTATTTTCTTGAATTGTAAAAAAGAGGTTAATCTCATATGATTAGGTTTCCTACTTGAATTTTTAATTTCATTTTTGTATATATTTCGTTGTATTACAAAAATTGTAATGAAAGAAGATCAAGAAGATGCAAAAGAAAGACATTCGTCACTGTTTCGGGTGTGTTCATGATCATTCGATGGCCGATCTGAGGAATGAACCACATGGGATGAAAGAGGACAGAAAGCCGAGCAAGATGACAACTGGATCCGGCCAAGAGGAGGCCGGACGAGCTGCCACGTTTGGGGCGTGTGGGAGCCGTATGCAAGCTCTTTTGGGGTGGTTTCGGT